TAGTTAACGTAACGTGTCTGGGATTCTATATGTTGTCAGGGTTGCATGTGTGGTGTCAATTACAAGGAATTCCAATGTGCCATCGTCGTTGCTTGTCCGACCGCGGTCGGGGAATTACAGACCTATGACAAACCCGATTCTCCCACATGCCAACATACCGGTTGCCGCCCGACTGGGCCGCCCCGACGATTTCCGCGACTTCGCGCGGTTCCAAGGTGCAGACGCGCACTCCCTTACTCCAAGGGCGGGGCCCCGGCCTTGGCGGGCGCCAGATGGGGCCCAATGGCCTGCCCCAGCGCCTGCGGCTCCGAGGCGCCAGCGGCATTGCCCAGCCTTTGCTTGAACTGCGCCAGCCAGCGGGTCGACCGTCGCGAGGCCGCCAGGCTGGGCGGCTTTGCTTCGCTACGGCGGGATCGACCCCCGCGGGGCCTCGAGCTCTGGCGGCTGCGGGCCCCGCTGCCGCTATCCTGGCGGGCTCGGCGGAAGCCATCCGCCCCGTGGCCGCGGCAGATGCCCGCCGCCGCGCGGGGAGCTCGAGCCCGCCCAGATCCCCTGTGCTTGATCTCGCCACGGCACCTCCAGCGGGGCGAAGGTCCCGTTGCACTGAAAGCAAAAGGCACGCTACTTCAAGTTCCACCTGCACCGACAGGCCGCGCACGAAAAGTAACTCCTCGCATCTGCCTTGCCCCTGGGCTCCCACAGGAACTAACAGAGAGAAAGGACGTTTGTACCTTGTGGCACGAGAGGTGCAGCAGCGGAGTTGCTCCTCCAGGAACTCACAAGACACGTGACCTGAACACTGGGCCCGCGGATCAGGTGGGGGCGCACCTCCCCTTTGCCACACCCAAAGCCCCTGGGCCCCTTGTTTCGGATTTGAGCCAACATGGCGGAGGAGGGGAGGAGGGAGTGGGGATGAGGAGGAGGGGGGAGAGGGGAGGAAGAGGCAACGGGGAGGAGGAGGAGGACGAGGAAGGAACAGGAGGGAGGGAGGAGGAGGAGGGGGAGGAGGGAGGAGAGAAGGATAAAAGAGGGACATGGAGTGAGAACGGGAGGGGGGCGCAGCAGGAAATGAAGGGGAAGGCGGGGGGGAAAAGGGAGAAGGAAACATGGAAGAGGAGAGAGGGGCGGGGAAGGGGGGAGGCAGAATACAGAGGAGAAACAGGATGAGGAGGAATGATGGGGAGAGCGTTTGTAAACTTAGTGTTTGTATCCCTTCTGGGATGGAGGCGTCTTCGATATGAGGCGGGCAAGAAATATACAAGCATCTTTAAAGTGGCCGCTCGGGGGATCCATGCGGGCCAATTGGGCGTCTGCTGTGGGCTCTTGAGGTTTCTTGGGGGCTTCTGGGGGGAAATCAGGGGGCCTCTTAGGGACCGCCAGGATGCTCTGGGGACCACCTCGGCGCCGAGAGCGATCGGAGGGCCGCTCGGGGGGCGTTTGAAGTGCGCTTGTTGGACCTCTTGAAGCGCTTGAGTGGGCCGCCTTGGGGCCATCCTGGGTTTCTTGAGGGCAATATTAGGGCCATGTTGGGGGCCCCTCGGACCCGCCTGGGACGCTCGTGGGGCCACAAAAGGGAATATGCCAAACATATACGATGTCCTTTAAGAATGAAACGAATTTGCAGCCTGGGGCCCTCGAGTGGGTTATCTTGGAGCCGCCTGGGGGCGTCTTTGGGGGCATGGGGCCGCCTTGAAACCATCTGGGACGTCTGGAACTTCCACGGTGAGTCCAAAAGTTTTCGGGAAGGCTCCGGGGAGGCTCTGGGGAATCCCCAGGGAGGCTCTGGGAGGGGAGGGGGCCAAGTGTACCCTGGGGCCCTCTGGTGGTCTTTGGCCCTGGGCCCCTTGTTGCCGCATTTCTGGCGTATGGGAAATATGAGCATTCATGATCATAGCATAGACATATATATATATATATATATATATATATGTATATAGATACGTGTATGTGCATATTTTATATACATATACATACATATAGAATAGACGCACACACTGACACGCACACACACACAAACAGACACACACACACACACTTTTGATCTGGGGGGCGAAGGCGAACCTCTTCCGCTGAAGCTAAGCGGGACGCGCATGGCTTTAATTAGCACGCACATACACACACGCACGCACGCACGCACGCACGCACGCAACACCCACACACACACACACACACACACCTCTGAAGTGCATCCCGAATCTCTCCCAACCACTCTTTGACGAAGATGAGGAAGGCGCGTGGCGCAGCCGTCGCCACCGCGGGGGCAGCAGCAGCGGGGCGGGGGGGCCAGCGGCGGCGGGGGCAGATGCTGACCAGGTCAGCCTGCAAGGTTACATGTCGCGTAGAGCCAAGGAAGCGCCAGTGCCCCAAGGGTGGGGACGGCGAAGCCCACCTGCAAAGGGCGAAGTGGGGCGGGGAAAGGCGCGGGCGGCAAGACCAGCCCAGGCGCCAGGGGCGGAGAGGCAGGCGGCCAGCAGGCCGAAGAAGCGTGCGCGAACCGCTGACGACACACACACACACACACACACGCACGCACACACACACACACACACACACCACGCACACACACACACACACACGCATACACACACACACACACACACACACACACACACACGCATGCACACACACACACACACACACGTTAGCCAGCGTGGGCCCCGAATAAAACGTTAGCCAACTATGCGCGTAAACTTGGTGGTGTGAACTGGATACGGAACCTATGGGGTGCAGGTAAGCTGTGTAAACCTACGAAGTGAAAACTATGGTTTCGGACCCGTTAAGCCGCTACGCATGCACAAAAAGCTAAGGGGAACCAATGCATCGAAGGTCGAAGAGGGAAGGCATCGAGGCGGTTCTCGAGGGTCGGAAGATACCCCCCAAAATGGCTCCAAGACAACCCAAGATAGCTCCAATACGTCCCAAGAGGCCCCCAAGGCGGCCCAAGAGGCCCTGCAGACGGTCCAAAAGGGCCCCACGAGGACCCCCAAGAGAGCCTCCTGGGGCTAAAACTAATGTTTTTGTTACCGATGTTCGCGTTCTCGCCTTTTCTGACTTCTGCCGCCGCTAAACGGCTCCAGACACCTCCAAGTTGGCCCCAAGACGTCCCAAGAGGCACCCAAGAGACCCCCAAGAGGGCCCAAGATGACCCCACAAGGCCCCGAGGTGGCCCAAGACAGGCAAGACGGCCCAAGAGACCCCCAAGACAACCCTTGAGGGCCCCAAGACTGTTGAGAGATGCCCCCATCATGGCCTCCGAAGGCGCGAGACGGCCCAAGGTCGCCCGAAAAAGGCCCGAGACGCTCCCAAGAGGCCCCAAGATGCCCACCAGAGGCACCCGAGAAGCCTCCAAAAAGCAACCAGGAGGCCCAACACGCCCATACGCGACGCAATCCAGACGTGCCCCCGGGGCAGCGAGAGAAATAGTTCAAAGCGCGCGCACACACAGAGACAAATTATCCCGGCAAAGCAACCTAACAGCGATGTGTAGAAGCATATCTGAAAGCATTCCCCTTAAGATTCAGATGAAAATCCAGTTGTCGAATTCTGCTGTTCTCGCAGTCGTAGTCGCATTCGCGATGACAGTCGCAGCGGCAACGGCAGTCGCAGTCACAGCCTCAGCCTCAGCCTGCCTCCTCTCCCTCCTCTTTCTCCTGCTCCTCCTCCTCCTCCTCCTCCTCCTCCTCTTCCTCCTGCTCGTCCTCGTTCTCGTCCTCCTCGTCTTGCTCGTCCTCCTCCTCCTGGTGCTCTCTCCTCCTCCTCCTCCTCTCCTCCCTCCTCCTCCTCCTCCTCCTCCTCCTCCTGGTGGTCCTCGTTCTCCTCCTCCTGGTGCTCTCCCCCCCCCTCCTCCTCCTCGTCCTCCTCCTCCTCCTCCTCCTCGTCCTCCTCCTCCTCTCCTCCTCCTCCTCCTCCTCCTCCTCCTCCTGGTAGTCCTCCCCCTCCCCTCCTCCTCCTCCTCCTCCTCTTCCTGGTCGTCCTCGTTCTCGTCCTCCTCGTCTTGCTCGTCCTCCTCCTCCTGGTGTTCTCTCCTCCTCCTCCTCCTCCTCCTCCTCCTCCTCCTCCTCCTGGTGGTCCTCGTTCTCCTCCTCCTGGTACTCTCCCCCCCCCTCCTCCTCCTCCTCCTCGTCCTCGTCCTCCTCCTCCTCCTCCTCCTCCTCCTCCTCCTCCTCCTCCTCCTCCTCCTCCTCCTCCTCCTCCTGGTACTCCTCCCCCTCCCCTCCTCCTCCTCCTCCTCCTCCTCTTCCTGGTCGTCCTCCTCCTCCTGGTCGTCCTCCTCCTCCTGCTCGTCCTCCTCCTCCTCCTGCTCGTCCTTCTTCTCCTGCTCCTCCTGCTCCTCGTCCTGCTCCTGCTCGTCCTCGTCCTCCTGGTCTTGCTCGTCCTCCTCCTCGTCGTGCTCTTGCCCCTGCTGAAAATGTGGCCCAGGAATGGGAGTTCTGGGAAGTCGAAGAGCACGAAGTTGCCTACAGTTGGCTACGGGCATTCAAAATGTGGCCCGGGAATGGAGTTCTGGGAACTCGAAGAGCACGAAGTGGCCTACAGTTGGCTCCGGGCATTCAAAATGTGGCCCGGGAATGGAGTTCTGGGAACTCGAAGAGCACGAAGTGGCCTACAGTTGGCTCCGGGCATTCAAAATGTGGCCCGGGAATGGAGTTCTGGGAACTCGAAGAGCACGAAGTGGTACAGTTGCTCCGGGCATCCAAAATGTGGCCCGGGAATGGAGTTCTGGGAACTCGAAGAGCACGAAGTGTGTGACTGTTGCATCCGGTTATTCTAAATGTGGCCCGGGAATGGCGTTCTGGGACTCGAAGAGCACGAAGTGTGTGACTGTTGCATCCGGTTATTCTAAATGTGGCCCGGGAATGGCGTTCTGGGATCTCGAAGAGCACGAAGTGTGTGACTGTTGCATCCGGTTATTCAGAATGAACCTGGGAATGGAGTTCTGGGAAGTCGAAGAGCACGAAGTGTGTGACTGTTGGTGAAAAACGAGGTCGGCACAGGCCCGCCCGGCAACTCCCAACACCTGCCCAGACCCCCCTGTGGAGTCATCTGATGCTCTCTTTTGACACCACTAGAAACCTATCAGTCTTCGCTGTTAGGTAACAAAAATCGGCCATCGTTCCGCGCAGCAGCCAATGCTGCCCGCTCACAACTTCGAGGCGCTCGGCGCCCCGAACAACACGGCTATGTCCGCCCTCATGCCCGCTATAATCGGGTCGACCAGGCCCTTCCGCTCCTGTGCAAGGAGAAAGCTTCTAACGTGACTGCACCACAGGGCGGAAGAGGATGACGACGGCGACACAGTGTGCCGGGTACATGTAATCCAATGTAGACAGGTAGCCTTGACACCATCGAGGAGAAAACTCGCGGTCTGAATTAGCGCTGCCTTTCTAGAGCCCGAAAGCTCGCCCTTTGGAGCCCTGTTGCGACACTCTTGGGCACTTGTGAAGCCGCCTTGGGCCCCGTCATCTTGGGGCTATGTTGGGCGACCGCATGGCCTTCTCGAGGTCCCAGAGGCCCATCGGAAGCTGAAAGGCGGGAAGCCAAACAAAATACGATTTGGGTCTCGGGGGTCTCCTTGGGACGCTCGGTGGCCACTTCGAGCCACCTTGGAGTGGTATAGGGGCCTCTGGGAAGCATGCTGCAGGGCATGTTGAGCCACCTTGGCCAGCTTGAGCCATATTGGAGACAATCTTGATCTGTACAATAGCCCTCTTGGCGCCTTCTTGGGCTATCTTGGACGCTCGAACGTCTCACGGTCCGCACCCACCGTGCAGACCCAAGGGAATGTGTGTGGTTGCAGACCCGCAATGACTTTGCACATGTTTTTCACAGAAATGGTGGGCCTGCACACAGCAGGCAGTGCTCCGCGACCCCCCCGCCGTTCCTGGCAAAGTGAACTTTGAATTTCTTGATGAAATGGAGGGTGGACCTGCACACAGCAAGCAATATGCCGGCATCCCGCCGTCCTTGCCAAAAAACATTCAGGATGATCGCGGGGCGTCCGCGCACAATCCAGATGTTGGCCCCGCCGGCCCTGTCCAAAACCATGCAAGGTGATCGCGGAGCGTGCGCGCATGATCCAGATGTTGGTGCAAAAAGCACTTTGTCTTGATTTTGCACAAGGGATGGCGAGGGGTGTCGGCATTGGCCTGGGTTTGTCGCCGGTCGGGTGGGGGGTAGAGTAATAAGAAGCAATGATAATCCCCTCGCCGACGGAGAAGGAGATTGGAAGAATGATGTATCTAAACCACCCACGCCCAGAGGGCTGGTGGGGTTCCCAATGCCATCACTCCCTGGTCCCCTCCCGCCAGAGCTGATCAGGATTCCAAGGCGAAACCAGCCGTGGCGGCGACGGCCCCCCACAGGAGGCCCACGAAGGCGGAAACGAAGAAAGGCATCGGAATCGGTATGACCATGCACTTCTAAGATGGGGGGGTTCTTCACTCCCCCTCCTCCGACGTAACACTGCCTGTGATGCAGGCATCGGGTGACCCATTCCCAGGGACCAGCGTTTCCTCCTGAGCCGTTTCTTCACGGACACGGGGCCAGGAAACTGCCTCCAGAGGCCGAGAACGTGTAGCATGAACAGCAATCGCAAAAACAGCAGACGCCCAGGCCTGAGGGTCGCTCACAGACCCCAACCTCCAAGCCTTTGTGAGCCTCCCATCGGCTCCTTGACCTTCATTCTGGCGAACGCGGGCTGCTTCACGTAGCCCCCCAGCTGCCGCGCCTCTGGACGGACCCGCGCCCCCTGCTGCCTCCCGACAAGCCCTCTTGCCAAGGCTCGTCCCCCCCCCCCTCTCACCACCTCCGCTACCCAGCCTCACCTCCCGACACACCCCTCCCCTCCCTTCTGAATGAAGATGCGGTCGGCGTCCTTTGGCCAGGGCGAGCGGGGTCAGCCCGCTCAAAGGCCGCCATGGCAGTGCAGTGCTGCCGCTAAGCGCTGTGCCTGGGCCTCAGCCCGAGGAGCCCCCACCCCCACAGGATGAGGGGGCGCCGACCTGGCCGCCGCCGCGGCCGCCGCCGAGAGGGGGGTGGGAAGGGGTGGCCGCTCCTGGCCGGCAACCGCACCTGCACGGGCACCACCAGTCCCCCCGGTATCGGCACGATGGCACGGTGCCTCAGAATGGGTCGTGCTGGGTCGAAAGCCCCTCGCCTGCCCCTTAAACCGCAGTCCTGTCCCTTGCACCGTCCCCCCCCCCCGCTCTCGGACCCCATATCCCATTACCCCCGATCCCCTCCCCGCCCCGCTCCCGGCCCCCGCGTCCCCCCTCCCTCGAATTCCATCCCGTCCCCGGAGCTCCGCCCCAGAAGAACCGGTTTCGGGAGGAGGAGGAGGAGGAGGAGGAGGAGGAGGAGGAGGAGGACCTTTCTGAACCTTTCCGATGATGGGATGACTGCGAGCATGCACAGGCCCACCAGGATGAGCAGGGGCAGGGAGGCTGTTCGGATGCTGGCGGCGACGGTCCAAGGCGTAGAGACCACGGGCGGCATACGCCACATGTGACATAATGACCTCGCCGTCCCCCCTCATAACTCTCCTCCTCACCCGCCAGCTCCGCCCCCTTCCTCCCTGATCCCTCGTTGTACGACGGGGAGGGAGGAGAAGGAAGGAGAAGGAGGAGGCAAGAGGAGAGAGGAAGGGGAGGAATAGGAGGAGGAGGAAGAGGGGAGGGAGGGAGGGAAGAGGGAGAAGGAAGAGGAGGGCGAGGAGGAATGACATCGTTCTTTCGGATCCGCACTGCGGACTCCCAGGCTGAGGCGCAACGAACGGAACGACGACACGACGACAACGACGATGACTACGACGGCGACGACGACGACGACGGCGGCGGCGACGACGACGACGACCACGACGACCGCACCGACCACGACCACGACCACGACCACGACCACGACGACGACCACGACGACGACCACGACCACGATCACGGCCACAACGAACACGACCGCGACCACGACCACGACAGCGATGCAGACGAGAACCACCGCCACCACGACCATCACCACGACCACGGCCACGACGACGCGGCGCCGTCGCCGCTGGCGTCACCTCGTCGTCGTCGCCGTCACGGTCGACGTGGTCGTGGCGTCCCCAGGCGCGCCGATGGGCCTTGGCGAGGCCCACGGCGAGCGGGTCGACGTCGGCCAGGGCGTCGAGGTACCCGACGGCCACGGCCTCTGCATCCGGCGGAGGCGGGGGCTGGGCCAGCGGCCCGCGGGCGGCGACGGCGAGGACAGCGTCGTCGCCGCCGCCGCCGCCGTCGCCGTTGTCGTCGCCGCACGGCGAAGGCGTCGTCGCCGACGCCGCCGCCGTCGCCGCCGCCGCCATCGCCGTCGGCGTCGTCGGCGGCGGCGTCGGCGACGTCGACGACGGCGGTGACGGCGGCGGCAACGACGGCGGCGGCGGAGGCGGCTGCGACGGCAGAGGCAACTGCGGCGGCGACGGCGATGACGACGACGGCGATTGAGGCAACGACTCGGTGACGAATGGTGACATCGTAAACGTCCCCTCTCTGCGTGGTTGCTGGACGGGCTCCGTGGGTCCCGGCCACTGCGGCGCTTAGGCCGTTGCGGGTTTTCTGTCGATTCTCGCTGTGGTGGGTTCTGACAGCGGGGGCGAGGGGGCACCACGATTCCCACCCGCATATTCATTCACATGTCGAGTAGCCAACTTACTTTGTGGGACGACTCCAGAATTAGGGGGTTCCACCAACCGACCACGCAACGAGGGTGATCACTGACAACTGCCAGGTCTGCAAGCGGGCAGCCATTTACAGTTCCTCCAGCGAGTCGTGGATAAACCGAGGAACTGCCAATGGGGGACACCCATTGCGTGGGGCGCACCCCGACTCGCAGCCCATTATGGGATGAGGCAGGGGGGGACGAGAAAGGGAGAGGAGGGACGGACGGGAGGGAGGGGAGGAGGGAGAGAGCGAGAGAGACAGGGAGGGAGGGGAGGGCGGGGATTGGTTTGATTCCGAGTCTGGCTCGACCACTGGATGGTCAGGGAAGGGAGAGAGGTGGGAGGCAGGCAGGGAGGTAAGGAATGAGAGATGAGGGCGGAGGGAGGGAGGGAGAAGGCGCAAGGAAGAAGAGGGACGGACAGGAGAGGAGAGGATACGAGAGGAGAGAAGGGGAAGGGAGAAGAGACGCGGAGAGGAGAGGAGGGGAGACGCGGAGAGGAGAGGAGGGGAGGGGAGGAGAGAGATCAGCGGCCAGCAGGAGCAGGGCGCGGAGAAGGAGGGGGGCAAGGTCAACGAGGGCGCTGGCCCTACAAGAATGCAGGGGGGGGCCTTCTTTGAGGGGAGCGGCCCCGTGAAGGCGCGTGCCTTTTACACCCTCTTGGAGGAGTGCTCTCCTGGAAGGCCTACCCCCCAAACCCTGGGCCCACTTTTGCTCGCAGGCCAGGCCTCCTCAGCGCCGTAGATGGCGGCCTGGGTTATCGAGACCGTGAGGTGGGTGGGGTGGAGCCGGTACTGTGCGAGGCGCCAGCCGAACTCTGGAATCCGCCGGTTCCCGACGTGCCGGGGGTGGCGAGGCGTGCAACAGGACGCGGCAAGTCCCCTACGTGTTCGACCGTGAGGCCCCTTGCTGCCCATCGGCCTTGGTTCTGACGGTACTCTGGGACTTGGCGACGAGCTTCGGCCGTCTCCACCGGTCTTCGGCGCTTTCCAGCGGACCTCGGCGCGAAAGCTGGACCGATCTTCGCTGTCGAGAACCCCTTGACAGCGGCTGGACACCCGCGCCCGCGCCCGCGCTGCCGCCGCGCTGAGACAGCTCGAGCCTGCGCACCACACGCAGGCTGAGTTCCACCCCCCACCCCCAAACACTGACAAAAAACCGCTCGAGATAGACGGGACTGGGCAAGGGCGGGTAAAGATGGGCCAGAAACGGAAGAGCGCACAAGTCAGGAGAAGAGGGGAGGCCGAGGAGGAGGAATGAAATCGGCACGGCACCCCCCAGAAGCCCCTCAGATCTCTTGAAAGCCTTTCTGAGCACCCAGAACACATGCAGAACTGTCCAGAACCCTCCCCTCCTCCACCTCCTCATGTTTCCCGTTTCTCCTTTCACCATCCTTCTCACTTGTGAATAATTCCGTCCTGCCGCATCACAAGACGTGTCGTCAGGACGGACCGGGCGATTCGCCTGAGACGTCCTCACCGTGTAAAACATTGCAGCTTGAAAAATGCAATACCTACATGGATGGAACGCCTGATATGTTCAAGATGTGGCTCTCGCATTGGGACCACCCGAACTGGTCTTCAACAAATACCAACATCTTTGCTGCCCCTCCTGCCATTCATAATTATTTTGGAGGACGACGCCCCGCTCAACATCAGTGCCATTCGCTGCGGATCGCTGCTGCGGAGCCCGCTCATGGAGGATGCGCTCAGATGTCACGCCGTATCCTGGTGGGCTCTTCGTTGCCTGCCGGGGGGGCCTCCGGGAGGCCAAGAAGGCGACGTCCGGCCCAGAGCATAGCACTCAGCTAGACTCGGGACTGCCCCTGCATAGCCTGGCGGTTAGACCTGGGCAAGGACCCTCTGACGATGTCATTGGTCCGACGGAGGGCTGGTGGGCTCTTGAAGTCGCAATGCAACTACAATAGCACAGTAGACACCCCCAATGTCATACCACCTCCGTCCCAATGTCATCCCATAGTAACTGGAAAAGTCGGCTTGGGCAAGATGTATATGTAGACCATGGAGGCGCACGAGACTATGATATGTTCCACAGCTGCTGCTTGGTCCAGCTATCTTCCACCCCGTCTCGGCTGAGACCGTCGGCGGGGTTAGATGCCGAGTCGACCCACTCGATCCACACTCGGCAGTCCAGGTGCATCCAGAGGAGGTGCGCTGCCTGCATCATGATGTCCACCTCGGTCTCGCCCGAACCTCCGCGGATACCAGCGGCCGCGGCAGCCTCGTTGTCCACGAACCAGATCACGTCTCTGCCCCTGAGGCGGGCTGCCTATGCCCACGTGGCAATCGGCAGAGCCACAGCCTCAGCCGGAAAGATTTGCTGCTTCCGCTCCTTCCAGCTCTGTGTTACCCTGGCGGGCAATAGCAAAGATTGGCCTATTGGTTGGCCGACGCCTTGAAGAAACAAGACCCAACCCAACCGCGGCTGTCGACCAGATCCCGGCTCGCACTCTGCGTCTGTGTAGATGACGACGACCTCGCGGCGGTGGTGCAGCACCTGGACGTGGCGAGGAGGGGCGTGCGCCACGACGTGCTGATGAAACTTCAGAGCCTGAGTTTGCGCCGCGGTCAAAGGACCGTGATGCTTGCACTGCAACCCCTTCAGCACCGCTATGCCCAGCCGGCCAATCCTCCCGAAGCTGTTGCTCTCCACCCAGCTGCTCCGCCCTCGTGTTTTCGATGCCTGTGCCGATGACATGGAGGCCGCTGCGACTGCCGCATCAATATCAGCACAGACCAGTCGACGTGACGACTCCTTGGGCATCACCACGACGAAGCCATCTTCATGCGCGGTGCTGAGGTCCAGCACCGCCCCGAGAAAAGGACGATGTGACTGCGTCGGGAAAGCCTTGGTGCGTTTCGGCGGGGTGCGTAGGCAGTCGAAGGGCCACTGGCGCAGCTCCTTGGCTCGGCGGGCGGAGCAGGAGACGTCCATCAACAAGACGTCGTCGAAGTAAGCTCCCGTGAGGAGGCCCAGGACGCGCCGCTGGAAAGCAGTCGTCAATGTCGGGGAGCGGTTGAAGGCGACCACCACCGACCCCAGACCGTAGGGGCATCCTTTCATCACTCCGAACTTCCAGTCTCTCTCCGTCGGGGACCAGATTGCCACTACCACCGCTCGTTGGTGATCCGGGAGCACTGGGCAGCCCCGGAAGGCGTCGGGGAGGTCGTCGGTGCCCATGTCCAGCCGGAACCACTCTGGAAAGGGCAGTTCGGGTCGCCCGGCCCGTCGAGCCTCGGCCTGGACGGACTTCACCAGCAAGGCGGCCACGGACGGCACTGTGTCAATCCCTATCGTGTAGATCGTCTCAGCCACTGCCGCAAACTCATTTTGCCGGCCTCGGTGGCCATTGTCGATGAGTCTTAACTTGCCATCCGCCTGGCACACCAAGAAACGATGCAGTGGTCGCCACCGGCCCACGCCGAACATGGTGTCCATCTCTGCCGCGGTCCTCCAAGGCTCCGTGAAATCCTTGTGGATCTCCTCCTGCGCGAGCCTCCAGATCTCCTCCGCGTCTCGAGGGGGTGGGCCGCAGCGCAGATCCGCCACCGCCGCAACGGCCGCCTGACCGAAGAAAACCTCGTCAAGGTGCTTGGTGGGCTGGGGGCCGAGTGGGCGAAATACGCCTGAAGCCTCAATGTCTCCAATCACCGGAAAGCCGTGCAAATAGCCCATGGCCTGGGATCTGTCTGGCCACCTGAGGAGAGCAGTGAGGAAGGCGATGCCGGCCGCGTCTCTGTCGCGGGCCACTGCCTGCGCCGCGGCAGATCGCTTATTCGCCGGTGCTGCTCGCACCGGTTCCAACGCCATCAACGCTCTATGCATCGCACTCTGCTGAAGATCCCTCCAATTCTGGGCGCGCGGGCCGAAGATGGATCGCAGCGCCGCCCCGAACTCCAAATCGGCGCCCATGGCGCCGCTGCAAGCAAAAGGGGAAGGCCCCTTGCAAGCGCACTCGATATGCGTACGCTTACCCAAGCCTGGCGGGAACATGTGGTCCAGGCCTCTCTTCGAGCCTCCCGATGCCCGCTGCGCTCCAAGGCTCGCTGCTGCGCGCGCACGGCCCTGTTGCGTCGTCCAGAAGGGGCCCACATCTCGATATGCATAGCCACGCTGCTGGAGGTAAACCCAAAAGCACTGGAGAACGCACGTGTCAAGCTCAAACAATCTGCGTCTAACCTTGCCCCACGCGTCCCGACTAGGGGGCAATATCGGCAGTTGGTCCTGCATGTCCTGAACCCGATCCTCGGCAGACAACAACCCCGGATAAGCGCTGATGAACCTGACGTCGAAGGGCGTGCCGATCACCTTGTGGGCCAATGCGACCTCGCCTGCGCATGCCAAGTGCGAAGGACTAGCAGCACGAAGTCCAGGAGCCAATTGGAAGAGGAGGACCAGGGCCACCATGAGGGAGGGCACGTGGACACCGTTGCCCAATTCTGAATTGCGCATTGCAGTTGCCCTCGCCTGCTCATGGCCCACCGCGACCGCCTCGACTAGAGCGGGAGGCATGCCGTGCAGCAGTGCCCTCTCTGATGGATCAAGGGGTCGCCACTTCTCACATTTCCACAGGAGGCTCTGCCGTTCGTACGCCGCGGCTGGGAATCGCCGAACGCCCTGAAAGAATCGCTCGGCCGCCTCCGGCGACGCAAAGTGGATTCTATCCACCGGATGCCTGAACTCGCGAGTGAAGGCATGGAAACCGGAGGGCCCGGTCCCCGATGCCACCTGCATCGGGTCGAAGGTGTGGACGTAGCCGCCTGCGAACACAACGTTCGGAGGGAAAGGCTTGATGTCGGCCACTCTGCGGTCGTAGATGGGTTGCCGGCGAAGCTCCGCAAGTCAAGGGACATGCCATGAGGAAGGACGGGATGGGGTAGCTGGGATAGGCCGCCCATGGGGCCACGCAGCCAAAACAATCGCCTGCGATGCACCCAACCCCAATCCCGGGCAGATATGCAGACCGGCGGACCTCCTACCAGGCGGCCGTATTCGTGGACGACGGCTCCAGGGGAGCTGGCCGAATCCTCAAGAAAAGACAGGATAGGAACGCCCCCAGCGACCTCGGTCAACTCCAACACCAGCCTCTGCAATTCCCGCGGCGCCCCCGCTGCAGCACCGTCGAGGCCCCGTCGGCGAGAGTCCAAGCCAACGCTGCCTGGAGGAAGCGGCCCACCCCCAATCAGAACGGCCGCAAATGAGCGTTGCGACAGCACGGCGCGAAACTGTTCCCCGCGCAGGTCACCCACGCTCTCCGCCGACACGACGTTCGGGAAGCACGCGGCAACGGCCGCGCGGAGCTCCTCGTCAACCTCCGCCGAAACTGCAATGCATCGAAGCCCCAACGATAGCGCAGCGACGAGCAAGCCAGAGAGGCCTGCCCACATGTCAATGACGAGAACTAGCTGTGAGCACGGTCGCTCCCATGGCAAACAAACCAACTCTCCGCGGCCCCTCCAAACAATCGGCTTGGCGGCGGCCAGCCGGTTAGGGAAATCATACGGGGCAGCCGCGGACGAGCCGGAAACTGCCGGGTTGGCTTCGCGTCGCAGTGGGCTTGCCAACCCCTGGGAGGAATTGGGAGGGTGAGGATCGGAAGCCTCCCAAGACACACCCCACCCTGGACGCGGGAGCAGAGAACCTGCTTCCCACGACCCCGGGGCAGCTGCAGACTGGGAGTCTGTGTCGCCTCCACACTTGAGCCGCGCCCTCCTGCCAGAAGTCGGTTCCGGAGAAGAAGTCCAGGAAGAACGACGGGCCCGCGAAGGTCCTGAACCTCCCGTCGAAGACGTCCACGCCGGTGAAAAGGATGACGCCGTAGCCTTCGATGTGGGCGCCGATGAAAATGCCGTCGGAGGAGGGCGCCGCAAGAGAAATGTGTGGATTCGGGCACGGCCGTCGCTCGCCCGGCTGCAGCGGGCAAGGCTTAAACGAACTCGCACTGCGTGCAAGTCCCTCCCCACGAGGGACCGGCATGGGTGACGAGGCATGCTCGTCCGGCTGCCGGGGACGAGGCTGAACTGCACGTCGAACGCCTAGGACCTCCTGCACGGGCCCGGCGGCCGCCGAACCTCCGGCCCCCTCGGATTGCTCCGAGGGGCGCTGTCCCTAGTGGCTCAGGAAGTTGTGGTCTCGTTTCCCGCGGGCCACCCCGCGCGAAACCTGTGCACAGCAAGCATGCTTACCACTCTGCGGGCAATGCTTCTCGCTGCGGGTGCATCCCGCGGCCGAGTTCCAGGCACCGCAGAACTTCACCCTGTTTTTGTCGATGGTGATCCGATTGGGTCGACCACGACCCTGAGCAGCAACATCATGATCCTCTCTGGTACGCTTGGGCACACGCTCGCGCTGGTCCCCCTCGACGGGCTGCGCCACGGTGTCATCCTTCATGCGCCAGAAGTGCGCCTCCCGCTTGAGAGCCTCCGTCAAGGCCTCTCCAGCCGGCCACCCCTCGTTGACCAACTGTGCCATATCCGTTCTGGTGGCCTCGTCGCGGGCTCTCAACCAACGGAGCTTCGCGTGCTCTGGGATAGACACCTTCAGGGTCCTGGACATCGCCTGGTCGCAATACGCCAAACCGACACCCCAATCGAAGAAGGTGACCTTCTCGGTGGAGTTCTTCTTGCTGGGGACCTCGTGCGTGCCGCAGTACGCGTAGGTCCCAAACAGGAGGCGCAATGCCGCCACGTAACCGAGGGTGGAATCGACCGGCTTGCTGGCTGGCTTGTTGTACCTCTCATCCGCACCAGTCCCAGGGGGGACCTGTTTCTTCTCCAAGGGCTTTTTGACGTCCTCGATGGTGACCGCTTTCTCGACCATGTGGAGGGTCATCACCTGCCCGTGGAACTCCCTGTACACGCGATTGCGCAGAGCAGGGGCGGGCTTCATGGAACGATCTGGGGTCCACTTGCGCACCGCCTCCCAAGTCTCCTTGAGGCGCTTCCGGGTGTCAGGATCGAGCTCCTTCTCGGCGTCCTCGCTCTCACCCTTCGAAGCCTCAGCTTTCGTGGCCTTCTGCTGCTCCGTGGCCACCGTCTCCAAGGCCAGCCGGTAGTCCCCGCGCGCTTTCGTCACGAACAGCCTCTGGCTCTCGAGGGTGAACTCCCCCTGGACTGGGAACTTCTCCTTCACGATGTCCCGGAGCTCAGATTCGTATTCCTTGCGGACGACGTAATCGAGAAACGAGTGGATGTCCCCGAGCTGGCACGTCTCCACGAAGTACTTCGTCAAATCCTCGGGCGCGCCGACTCCGGAGAAAATGTCGCCCAAGGCCGGCAGGGAGGACATCGCAGCAGAGCGAAGTGTAATCCTGGAGCGTGCAGTGCAGGAGTTTGGGCACAGAAGGCTAAGGAGCCATGAGCACGGACAGATCGACCACGGCAATTGTGCTTCCAACACAAATGCTCCGGAGATCGGACGTCCCCCACGCGCACCGACTCCGTGACATCTCGATGGAGATTGTGCCAGGGGGGGGCAGGATCTGTCCGCCCATCGTGCCCTCCGGAGTCGAAACCATGGAGGGCCCGTCTGGCCCTGCAGCGTCGACCCAGACCCACAACCCAGGCACATTCAAGGGGTCCTCCAGTCTGCGGTTGGCCGCGACCGCTCCGCCCGCAACCCAGATTCGATTAATAAATCCTCTGGTCTGCGGCTGGCCGAGGGGGGGGGAATTCAACACGTTTCCCCCCCGCTCGGGGCGGAGATTCGGGCGGTTATCAATGAAGCATCACCGTGCTAAGTTTCCTACGGGGCCTGGGGCGCAGCTGGACGACAAACTCGAAACAAGACCAGACTGCCCTCCCACCCCCGCAACCTCGGCCACCCTCCAGACTCGACAATCCCAGCGCACTGTGTTTTGACACACACACACACACGAGCTAGAAGTGATGGCCCGCGGGAGGGGCGACCAGGCTGAGCAGAGACATGTGCGCATGCGCATCCCCCCATGGCTGCTCAGAATGATCATCGGCAAAGGGCCCCCCACTCGGGGGGCAGTGCAAACGCCAGGTGGATCACATGGAACTCACCCTCGCATGCACACCATGACCAGACGTGCGGCGTTCCAGCGAAGGAGTCGCCGAACGCATGGCCAAGAGAGACGGGGCTACTGCTGATCCGAAGATCAGCAGGAGACACCCAGCGTGTAAGTCAGACGCGGGGCGTGCTAGACGTTGCCCTTCCTGCGTTTCTCCCCGCTGGTCTTCCGCTTGTCCTTCCTGGTCTTCTCGTCCTCCATGTCCTTCTTACGCTCCTTCACCTCCTCAATCCTCTCGTCCTTCCTGTCCTTCTTGTGCTTCTTGCTCTCCCGGTGCTTCGTGGACTTTTCCTGACAGGGCACCCCGTCAGGGGGACTACGGCCACGAGGACGTCGATGGTGCAGAAATGCGACGTCTTCCCACGTCAACGAAGCTGGGCTGAGCCTTGCGGGCCGCCCGGATAAGATGCAGGCAACAGCCTCATGGTGACGACATGCCTCGACGAAGGCCTCGAGGACTCGTAATTTGGCTTGCCCTGATGCCAAAGCCTTCTCGTCGGAGTAGTGTGTGGACATCAATTGCATGGCTTGGCCCGCGGAGCCCTGACCGTGCGGAAGCTCCATCCAACTGCCCACCGCTTGCGCCATGTGGGCGTCGAAGCCGAGGACATTAGCGGCTGTTGGCAGGAAGCGCCTGGCAGAATTGAAGGTGACCTTGGCCACCTGGGCTGGTGCTTTGCCCACGTCCTTGGCGACCTTTCGCATGATCTCCACGACCTGGTTAGGTGACATAGGAGACGACTGCCAACGCCGAATCCTCTTGAATCTCGTCTGCTCGTGGCGGGCAGGCAAGAGGAACGACGGCTTGCCAAGTTTCGCGTGGAGCTCTACCAGGAAGCCGAAGGCGTGGATTCCAAAGAAGCTCGGCCGAGGCACAGCCCACGCGTAAGAGAGACGCACTCCCTGCCGCCGAGTCTTGCCCCGAGCGCATCGGGCAAAGATGAAATCTTCCCGACATCCGGTGAACGTGGACCTCTGAAGGTGGGCGAAGCGGATGCATGCGAGGCAGGCGAAGAGCACCAATTGCAGCTCATGCGTGCGCTCCGCACCGTGCTCGAGGATCAACGCCACCATGTTCCAGATGTCGGCCGGGCTAAAGGCAGGCGCTGCTCCGCGACGTGCGTGTCTGGAGGATGCAGAAAGCTACTGACACACGGCGCATCGACTGGGAATGGGACCCCCAGGTGCGCGCGCAACCACCTGAAGGCACTAAGGCGCGCTGGAGCAACCGTTGGCGCCTTGCCCGCCACGTGCTGGAGGAAGATGCCCCATTGAACTGACGATGGGGACCGTTTCGAAATCGATGATCGCGAACTCCTCCACTTCTCCCGGTGCCGCCATTCCCGAGTGATGGCGGCCAGACGGGCCGCCGTCAGGCGCTTGGGGCCCCTCATGAGGAGCGCCCGCTGCGATTCGACCTCGTCGTTGGCGACTGGGTCCCAGTGCAGGCCGGCCGGGCCCATGTCGAAGTAGAGGTCGGAGATTTCTGAGAGCAGGCGAGACTTGGCACGATCCTCCTGCTCCTGGGCAGGCGAGATCGGCGTGACCACCTGCTGCTTGGGCATCCGGATCGTCCTCGCAACCCTGGCCGCACAAGGAGGCGTCGACGACATACTTAGGGTAGCAGGCGCCGCACTCCAAGAGGAAGACGGCGCCGAGGGCATAGCAGCGTGAGAAGATCCTAGGCACGGGCGATCAACGATTTGCCGAGCTAGGCTGCTCACGTGAACCCTGGAGGTGCGCTTGGCTACCTGCGAAGCAGTAACCGCCTCCTCGAGGCATGCCGGCACGAGGCCCCTAAAGGAGCCCCGCACCTCGTCCGCCGTGTCGAAGTACCCTGATAAGTCTAGTGAGGTAGCGATCCAAAGCCTGACCAGTTCCTCCGGGACAGGGAGGGAAGCTCCACACCAGCCCAGGGGCCCTTCGCCATTGGCCACGACTGGGAGGGGTGCTAAGATAGCGGGCCCCTCAGGCCGCACTAACCCAGGGACAGGGAAGGAGGAGGATCCAGATGACGAACCTTGACCCAACCTTGCCCCAGTCCCCCCTAACCAAGGGAGAGGGTTCCCTCTCGGCCCCGAGGCCCCCGCACCCGCGGACGAGAGCACCGTAGAGGAGCCATCGCCCGCCTGCCTATGGGACGATGTGCTAGGACCGCTCACCCCCTGCAGGTGGCGGTCCGGCGCAACGCCCAAGGGAGCGCGAACAGGAAGATCACGATGCTGACTGGTGATGCCGCCTGCCCGCCGCCTCCATTGCGAAAGGCAGGAGAAGGCGAGGGGGCATCCACCGCCGGCTTGAGCCAAAATGGCTACCAAGACAAGATGGCAATAGAGACCTAAGAATTAGTTCGCTAAGTCCCAATCCAACCAGGCCATACCCTTGCAATCTAAATACATACCGATGGAGGGCGGACCGTTTCCAAACAGGGGCTTGCGCCTTCACCTTCGCCCACGCGTGTCTACAAAAACACACAATTGCACGAAGTGAATGGGAATCGTTATGACATGGGGACCACCTTGTGCCGCACGCACTCGCCCCAAATATTTCCAACAGTTACACGGATGAAGTGAAGTTCAATTTCAAAATGGGGCTCCGTTTGAGATGTGCTCCAAATGTGCCACCGCAGGTACTATAGAAAAACGGTTGGATACGTAAAGAGGCAGCGAGCGGATGTTTGTCAAAATGGGATTCTCGCTCGAGCCTCCATCCGACTGCACGTCCCGAAGCCTACACCTTGCGCACCACGCAGGCGGACGACGACCGGTTCCTTCTCAGAGCAGGGCTGTCCCTGAACCCTTCCTTCAACTTGATAAACCCCACCTTGTCGCACTCCTCATTGCTCGAAGGATGGAAGGCGGTTTGTTCAAAGGAGTTCCTGGCTGAATCGCTGGCCCATGGGGCGCTCGTCTCTCGAAAGGACGCTTCGGGCTGTGAGCACGAGTGCGCGCAACCACTAGAGAGGAAGGGATCCGGAACGCAAGGGTGCATTGCAATGCCGCTGGTGCGCATCCGCCTTAAATTGGTCAGCCTCTCCGAAAGTACGGCGACAACAAAACCGAAGACCGACCGAACCGACAACAAAACCGAAAACGAATGAACTCGACAAGCCGGAAGCAACCTAGAAGGGAGCAGCGATGCGGCAACGACAGAATAACCGACCGAATCCAATCGACCGAACGCAACTGGCTGCGACGCAACCGAACCGACCGAGCCGTGAACTCTTTGATGATGGTCCTGAAAGGGGCCGAGAGCGCACTAGTCTACCAGACCACTTCCAAACAACCGACGCCACACTGTGCCCGTGATCGTGGACCCTTGGGCCTCTCGGCTCATTCCCGGGGGCAGAACTTCTTCGCCCCGGATCAATTCGGGGACGGCCCCAGAGCCCGAAACGGGCCATGAAATTGCCTTGGCGCCCCGGGGAATTGCGTGTGATATATCTTCTGCGGCACGGCGGGATGGACACCTCTGGCAGCCCGCCCAACGGTGCGGGCGTTGGACCACGGCCCTTCTCCTCATTGCCACATGCGCACGGACTGTCGGTACTGCGACCATCAGCGTTAGCAGCGCTTGGCCCTATCAACGTCGTGGCCACGGCACAGCCTCGCTCGCCAACAGCGGCCGACAGGCGTGGGCGGCCAGAAGAACGACGCACGGGCGCGAAATTACCCGCGCGAAATTGCTCGCACGAAATAGCCCCAGAATTGCCAGCCAACATGGCCGCACGAAAAGGCACCAAAATTGCGAGCGCCCGGCCACGCATGCGAGAGCTCCCAAAAACCCGAAACCGCCTGAGACATTCGCACGGCCAATTCGCGCAGCATGCGGACAATATCGTGCGGCATTTCGTGGGGCATTTTGTGCTCACTCGTGGAGTTCGCGCAGCAATTCGTGCCTCATTTTCGTTCGTGCGGTGTTCATTCCGTGCTCGTGCGCACATGATTTCGTGTTCGTGGGAAAACAAATTCGCGCCCGTGTGAGAATAATTTCGTGTTCGTGCGACCGCACTTTCGCACTCGCGCAGGAATGAAGTCGCAATCGAGCAGCACTCGCTTCGCATTTGCACGGCACTTACGCTGTTCACTGCCAGGGGCTACAATAAACATGTCACGCTACGCGCAGACATAACAAAGCACAACGGCCAACGACCAAAAGATCGATGGATAGCAATGCGCGGCCAGCGGAACCCTCCGCGTGCGGCAACGCCACCTACGCAGTCAAAGCAACCCCCTTTTCGTTTGGAAGGTATTTCGTGCACTCCTTCTTCTCGTTATCAAAGGTTGGACATCTATGCCAAATATGCGGCGACGTCATCACCCTACCCTCTCAAACCATCGATTTTCCTGAATCGGTGGTTGGCGGGGGTAGGGTTCGGACTTCGCCACTTGCTCGACGAATTCCGAACCCTACCCCCGACGCCCATCGAGTTGCCTGAATCGTTCATCGGCGAAGGTAGGGTTCGCATTTCGCCACCGGCCAAAATGGCGAGAGACGGGCTGTCCTGCTTGTGTCAAGAAGCGCTGCAAGTCTGGGCCCCCCACTGCCGGCACAGACGAGACGGCGGGACGGCGTGGAGCCACCAGGATCTCGAGGCCGATGGCGGTCTCATTCAGGCCGAACTTGGCCTTGGAGCCGCGGCGGCCGACGCGGAAGTCGGCGGCCAGTAGCAGCATGGCCCCGAAGGCTAGGGAGTGCCCCGAGGCCACCGACACGACCGGCTTCGGGAAGCAGAAGACCCGCATTAGCAGCATCCCGCCCTCCTCCACCAGCTTCGGGACCAAGGCCAGGTCACCGCCCTTACCCAGAAATGCGCCCATCACGCTGAGGTCGAACCCCGCAGAGAGAGCCTTCCCAGTCCCCGTGATGACCAGCGCCTTGGCCTCGTCCGCCTCGGCCTGGTCCAAGGCCTCGTGGAGGACTCGGATCATTTCGAAGCCGATTGAGTTCATTTTCCCATCGTCGAGCGTGAGAACCCCGACGGGTACGTCGCCTCCTTCTATCCGGTACGTGGCTGGCGGCATGGCCTGAGTACCGCCCTGGTCAAAGCAGCACCTCGCTTCGAACCTGACCAGGTACTACAACTATCAAGCAGAAGAGCTTGAGCCGAAAGCGGTCGCGGGCCTCATGCTCATACTGCTCCTCACAGCCCTCCTCCTCGCATACACCACCTGCCGACACACCTTTTGGCTCGCAATTGATACCAGCAGGGGGGGCGCAAGTAGCTCCTCTTGCCTCGGCGGAAACCCGTTTCCCCCTCCTCCTCGTCCACCTCCTTCTGAACGGGGCTGAAACGCTGGTTGAGACCTTTTTCACGACGCCCCTGATGCCTCCCGCGCACCATCCGGACCCGTTTCCAGAGCCGCATCCAGCCGCGGCGACGAGGGGGAGCCTCCGAAGGCCCCCGAAAGGGGCGAGGAGGAAAAGGCAGGTCGATGAGGACGGGGCGGGCAGGGGGGCGAGGACCCGTGTCGAGAGGAGTGCGAGGAGGGGGGGCGAGGAGGGCGAGGAGGAGGCGAGGGAGGAGGGGGGGGGGGAGGGGGGCGGGCAGGACATGCGTTTGACATCCACAGCCACTGGACCACCCATAGGAGGCCTATGCCGTCCAACTCAACAGTCAGCCCCTATCTCTGGGGATGGAGGCCTTTGCAGAGCTTGGACCACACCTCCTTTCACCGCGAGTTCCCCGATGACCAGACATGTTGATTCCTATCCGGGGTAACTGTCGCGGCCTGTGGGCTCTGGAGGCAAGAGTCACCACAGCCTCGGAGCTGCCCCCCGAAGTGCAAAATACTCAAAGCGAACAAAAACATTATCCTGGCGAAGGACCCAACCATATGCAATTGTGAATACTGCAATTGTGAAATATCTTCTCGGTGGAGCCCCCTACGGGGCCACGAAACGTACGAGGGGTGTGCCGAAATGGGTGTGCGGGACGCATGCGGGCACGCCCACTGGGGCCTTCGGTGGGGCTCTCTATGGGGCCACGAAACGTGCGAGGGGTGTGCCGAAATGGGTGTGCGGGACGCATGCGGGCACACCCACTGGGACCTTCGGCGGAGCTCCCTATGGGGCCACGGAACGCGTGAGGGGCGTGCCGAAATGGGTGTGGCTGACGCATGCGGGCGCAGCCACTGGGGCCTTGGGTGGAGCTCCCTATGGAGCCACGAAGCGTGTGAGGGGTGTGCCGAAATGGGTGTGGCTGACGCATGGGAGCGCAGCCACTGGGGCCTTCGCTGGAGCTCCCTATGGAGCCACGAAACGCGTGAGAGGTGTGCCGAAATGGATGTGGCTGACGCATGCGGGCGCGGGCACTGGGGCCTTCGGTGGAGCTCCCTATGGAGCCACGAAACGTGTGAGGGGTGTGCCGAAATCTGCGCGGTGGGCGCATGGGAGCGCAGCCACTGGGGCCTTCGCTGGAGCTCCCTATGGGGCCACGAAACGTGTGAGGGGTGTGCCGAAATGGGTGCGGTGGGCGCATGGGAGCGCAGCCACTGGGGCCTTCGCTGGAGCTCCCATGGGGCCACGAAACGTGTGAGGGGTGTGCCGAAATGGGTGCGGTGGGCGCATGGGAGCGCAGCCACTGGGGCCTTCGCTGGAGCTCCCTATGGGGCCACGAAACGTGTGAGGGGTGTGCAGAAATCTCTGCGGTGGGCGCATGGGAGCGCAGCCACTGGGGCCTTCGGTGGAGCTCCCTATGGGGCCACGAAACGTGTGAGGGGTGTGCCGAAATCTGCGCGGCGGGCGCATGGGAGCGCAGCCACTGGGGCCTTGGGTGGAGCTCCCTATGGAGCCACGAAGCGCGTGAGGGGTGTGCCGAAATCTGTGTGGCTGACGCATGGAAGCGCAGCCACTGGGGCCTTCGCTGGAGCTCCCTATGGAGCCACGAAGCGTGTGAGGGGTGTGCCGAAATCTGCACGGTGGGCGCATGGGAGCGCAGCCACTGGGGCCTTCGCTGGAGCTCCCTATGGGGCCACGAAAGGTGTGAGGGGTGTGCCGAAATGGGTGCGGTGGGCGCATAGGAACGCAGCCACTGGGGCCTTCGCTGGAGCTCCCTATGGGGCCACGAAACGTGTGAGGGGTGTGCAGAAATGGGCGCGGTGGGCGCATGGGAGCGCAGCCACTGGGGCCTTCGGTGGAGCTCCCTATGGGGCCACGAAACGTGTGAGGGGTGTGCCGAAATGGGTGCGGGGGCGCATGGGAGCGCAGCCACTGGGCCTTCGCTGGAGCTCCCTATGGGGCCACGAAACGTGTGAGGGGTGTGCCGAAATCTGTGCGGTGGGCGCATGGGAGCGCAGCCACTGGGGCCTTCGCTGGAGCTCCCTATGGGGCCACGAAACGTGTGAGGGGTGTGCCGAAATGGGTGCGGTGGGCGCATGGGAGCGCAGCCACTGGGGCCTTCGCTGGAGCTCCCTATGGGGCCACGAAACGTGTGAGGGGTGTGCAGAAATGGGTGCGGTGGGCGCATGGGAGCGCAGCCACTGGGGCCTTCGCTGGAGCTCCCTATGGGGCCACGAAACGTGTGAGGGGTGTGCCGAAATGGGCGCGGTGGGCGCATGGGAGCGCAGCCACTGGGGCCTTCGCTGGAGCTCCCTATGGGGCCACGAAACGTGTGAGGGGTGTGCCGAAATGGGTGCGGTGGGCGCATGGGAGCGCAGCCACTGGGGCCTTCGCTGGAGCTCCCTATGGGGCCACGAAACGTGTGAGGGGTGTGCCGAAGTGGGTGCGGTGGGCGCATGCGGGCGCAGCCACTGGGGCCTTCGCTGGAGCTCCCTATGGGGCCACGAAACGTGTGACGGGTGATGATGGCGATGATGATGATGGTGGTGATGATGACGTCGATGATGTCGATGATGATGATGATGGTGATACCGAAACGGTTGCACACGTTTCGTGGCCCCATGATGATGATGACGATGATGATGGTGATGATGACGATGATGATGATGATGATGATGATGATGATGATGATGATGATGATGATGATGATGATGATGATGATGATGATGATGATGATGATGATGATGATGATGATGATGATGATGATGATGATGATGATGATGATGATGATGATGATGATGATGATGGCAGGAGGGAGGGGGCAGCGGGAGGAGGAGGAGTGAACGCGGGGCGCTGTCTCTTCAAAACGAGGACCCAACACCACAGGATGGTTGGGAACAAGGAACTGCCATCGCTGCAGTCGTTCGCTATACCGAGGGGCAGCGATAGGGCGGGGCTGGCATGGGGGACGAACATCGACCTGGACTCGGCGATACACAGCCGATAGATCGGCGACAGGCCCTCGATAGCGAATCCGCACGTTCCTAGGATGGTTGGGGCGATCGGACCCCGCATTGGAGTTGAATGGGCGACTGGGGGTCGATGTATCTCTCCCTGACCCCTTCTCCCCAGAGCCTTTTCAGCTTAGAGTTTCAGGCTCCCTTCTCAGAGACCCACGGCGCACTGGACATGGATAAAGAGCTGTCCCCCAGGGGCTCGATGTTCATCCACGTCCAGTGCGCCTCGGCCTCGCGGCGCCCCTTCCAAGAAAGTTCAAGACGCACTGGCTGTGGACACAAAGAGGCCGACCAACCCCACCCAGATCTGCACGAGGCCACCGGTCCCTGACTACGAAAACGAATGTAAAAGTGGATGCTTTTGTGAGCTAAGCGCTGAGCACGCGGGCAAACTCGAGACTAACACGGGCACGGAAGGTGGCCACCCTGCCGTTCCCATGGGCCAAAACGGCGGCGGAAGAGGGAGACAATCAAGGCAGGACTGGCTCCAGCCGTGAGGCCACCCCCGTGCCGCGGGGCGGGGACACCGCCGACTAGTCAACTCGGGGAGCTGGGTGCCTGAACTTCATGGGTGGGGCCCATCGCGAAGATCTCTGGAGAGACCGGCTCCACATGATGGCTCAAGGGACTCCGCTAACGCTGACCACCGTTCCCGAACATCCGACATATGGGTTTGTTCAACACGGGGTTTGTTCAATACGGGACCCCCATGTCAGCAACCCCCTCGCACACTTCGTGGCCCCATAGGGGCCACCGCCGAAGCCCCCGAGGGGGGAGGAGGGTACCGCATGCGATCCCCCACTCGATTTCGGCGCACCACCCACACGCTTCATGGTCTCATGGGGACCTCTGCCGAAGGCCCCAGGAGGGGTACCGCATGCGGTCCCCCACCCAATTTCCGCTCACCCCTCAGACGCTACGTGGCCTCATAGGGAGGTCCACCCTAAGGCCCCAGTGGCTGCGTTCGCGTACATTCTGCACACAATTTCGGCGCATCCCTCACACTATTCGTGGTCCCGCAGGGACCTCCAGCGAATGCCCCAGTGCCTGCGTTCGCAGATCTTCTCCACGCTATTTCGGCGCACCCTGCACACGCTTCGTGGCCCCATAGGGAGCTCCACTGAAGGCCCCAGTGGCTGCGTTCGCATACCTTCTCGCTTACGTCCAGATGTAGCTCGTTACGGCTGAACTCTGCGAGAGCATCAGAAACGCCGCTCCACAATTTCCACGCAAGCTGCAGTCCTTGTGGTACCCCCTTCCCTCAGTTTCCATCCGTCTTGCGGTACCAGCACTTGCATATGGTTGGGTCCCTCGCCAGGATACTTCTCAGGCGCGAGGGTCTGGGACAGGACGCCCTCTCATAGCGACTACCTGCGCCCCGCAGGACCCCGTTCCGAGCCATCCTCCGATACGATTCCCGAACAAGAATGCCCATAGGGGGAACGCGGAGTGCAGGACCGCCCCCCGAAATCGCCCAGTCCGGCAGGCGATTCTGCTGAGACTTCCTCAAAATGTTCGGGGAGACGTTAGACTCGGGTACGGGGGACTCGGTTTGGCCTGACGGGGTCAGCATGAACATGACGAGGCCCAAACTGAAACTTGACGCGGGATCCCGCTGCACACATCCCACGAGAACCGGACCGTCAAAATCCAGGATGCGCTCGTCAAAAAACGTCGGCGATACCGATGTCCGGCTTACTCGAGTCTTACGTTCCCCCGACATTTATACAAGAAACATGCTCTCGCCCCAGTGCCAGCAACATGTTTGGTCCGAGCACCAGCTGGTTGTTGATCGGCTGAAAGGAGGAGGAAAGA